TAAAATAAACACGTATTTCATCACAAGGAAAAAAGCGAAGTTTTATTTTTAGCTAATTCCACACATTTCTTAATGAAACCCTACGACAGATGAGAGAAATCGTCGCGCTTGCTCAAAACAATTCGCGGCCTCGGTCAAGTTCCAGCGTGTAGGACATGGGGCGTTCCCCACGTAGCGCGTCACCTTTCTGCTGACCTCTCGCTGACACGACAGCGAGCGGTAACGATACTTCCACAGAAACGCTGCAGATGAAGTAAGAAAGCCTTTCAAAATCGTTTTTACCCTGCCTGCCCTTCCAGGGTTTCAGCAGCTTGGTGAGCAGCCGGTCCCCGCCGGCCAGCGCTCGGCAAGGATAGCAACGCTCCTTCTCCTCGCCCCCGAGGCCTCCAGTCTCAGCTGCAAGAACAGACCAAAGGTTTCCCAATTTTTACGTACGGACGATTAACCTTAATATACACAAGTTGATAAAATGCCAGAATCCATCGCCAAATGATTTTTCAGAACACTGAAAGATAGGCAAGAAATAATACTTACATGAAGAACATTCCCTTTAATTAACACCCTCACGGCTTACATAATAATCAGACAGCCCTTAACAAGAACAGAGTATCTCTGTTAGAGACGGCATTCCATTTTACCAAACAAAAACTATAAAAAAATTTTAGCTTAGTAAAACATTGCATAATGATAAACTCAGGCTACCCTTATGTGGTGCACACACTTACAATCCCAAAGGAAACCTTTCCAGCAGCTACAGAAGAGCAGAGAGAGGCTTACTCTGGAGCAATCGCAAGTTGGCAAGCATTTTACTTGTGAATTATGTCAAGTGCAAATTAAGTGATTTAAAAAGTGACTGAAATGATGACAGCCTGTCAACTACATAAAATATATATTCTAGAGAAGAAGTTTAGCTACATAAAAAGCCTTTTTTTTTTTCCCCCTAAGGGATCAATATTAATGGAATGAAAAAATAATAAAGATTCAGTGTCCAGAAGACAGAGCTACACAGTTTGTAGATCATCCAAATGCTATTTAGGTACTTAACTTTATATATGCTATAGTCAAACCACACCGCTTTTGACTATTTTTTATTAAATGCTTCTAGTAAACGCAGCAGGTGTAAGAACAGATTGATGATGTCCAAGTAGAGATTGATTGCAGCCAGTATGTACTCTTCAGGGGATAATTTGTGCATCAGCAAATGAGTGTCATAAATAATAAATCCACAGAACAGAAGAGCTCCGGCAGCAGCAAACACCAACTCTATTGTCTCACTATAGAAAAACAGCTGGAGGCAAATGAAACATGAAAAAAAAATTTGTAAATTTAATTTTCTTTTTAATATTAAAATCCCTGCATAGTGATACGCCATACTTCAAACAAGGATACACACTGACTTTTTACTATTATATACATACAAATACAGTATTATATTTCAATGTTCTTATTTCATATAGTCTCCAGTCACACAATCTCTTGAACTGAGTAAAAGTGCCTCCACTTCAGAGAGAGGAAGCTCTGGTCTCCAGAATATTAACAGCAGAAAGATTAGAAAAACAAAATGCAATTAAACCCCAAATCTCCTTCCCATTTTCTCAGTCAAGTCGTGGATCTCGACTGACAAATTTCATCAAGCGACGCAAATACCACTCACATGTTAGCAAGAACAGCATCCAACAAAAAAATGAATTGGAAACAAATGGTTAGAAGATCAGCAGCACAATCAACAGCAATAATGGATCTGGTTAGGAAATTTCTTTCATTAAGCTATATTGAACTGTCCAAACCCTTGTTGTTATACTAGAAGTTAGTAAAAGATTTATGGTAAAGAATATTTTTTAACTGTAAACACAAGGTATCTTACCCTCAAGAAACCCGAGAAGATTAAAATCCACAAACAAGCAAAGAGGCTGAAAAAAAAAATTAAACTGTGAGTAACAATATATTTTCTTTTAAATTTTACTTAAAATCTCTTCCCTTTCTATAAAACCTCTTTATAATATATTTGGTAAGTCAATGTCCCTAATTCTTAGATGCCAACTGTTCATTGGCATCAGCAGTAAAACTCGGTTTTATAAAGCTGTCAAAAGTTGTCCTAAATGTACTTTTTAAAAAATATCTGAAGCAGCTTCCCTTTGAGTGAAAAATCCAGATAAACTAGTGCTTTAGTGTAATACTATGGTTTTAAGAATCATAATCACAGAAAAGAATTTTTTACCAAGAAAACAGAACTGCATAAAATTAATAATTTAAGATAAATAACAGTCTCACCATTCCCTTGAAGCAAGTTCTATTGACCTGTGTTCATTATCATATCTGCAAAGCTTGCTTTAAAAAAGGAAAAACTAGCTTAAAAAAAAACCCCAATCATTAATATGACAACATACCCTGCTCCAAATTTGCTGAAGTCTCTCTTTGACTGCAAGGTATATGCAGTCAGTCCAAGAAATACAGCAGTAGTAAGAATAAAGGCTTGCAAGACGATGGACACATCATAGAAACTCACTATAAACAGAAGTAGTAAACTGTCATTTAAAGAGCACTACACCATACATTTGCTAAATTTTCTGTTGAGAAAACAGAAGTTTAAACTTTCACAGACAGGAAAAAAAATAATCTTAACTATGAACAAAAAAAGTAAATTGTGCCTGAACTTGCCTTTGCACTTCGAAGTTTATGATCATAGGACTTACAGACCCTTGCACTAGCTAAGTTTGACAGTTACAGTATAGCTGTAGCTTCCTAAATGGAGATAACAGATCTTACTCACAATAAAAACAAACAAACAAAAAAAGAAAATAAGAAGTATTTTTAAGTCTAGATATCTGAGATCTTAAGGAAAAAGCTACCTGAATTTTTCAGGATGCTCAAACAACAAAAAATTAAATCACAAGACAATCAGTCCCCTGCAAAGGCTCATAAAAGTTTTGGTTAGGAGGTAGGAAGAGAAAGATAAGAGAAATGAATGGAACTTTTCTCTTCCCTCCTTCCTCAATCTTTCCTTTCCCCAAATGGCTTTTTTTTTTTTTTTTTCAGGAGACCATAAACCATAATGATTGCTGGAAGCTACAGTGCAAGGTGATGCCGTAACTTCTCCGCACACCACCCCATCTCAACCCTGACAACAAAGTACAGAACTCTTCACGCTCAAATTAATCCCCTTGGAGGAAACAAAGGGGGAAGACGAGGTTATTTCACTTGCAGCTCTGCTGAGAGCTGCCTTATAGGAAAGAACATTGCTAGCTGTACCAAAAGAATGGATGGCACAACTCATTTTTCACTTCAAGTTTACACAGTTTCAGTTCTGGATCAGCATCCAGTTTTCTCCGTTGATTCCCTGGGGTTTTTTTGCTAAATTCATATTACTGTCATTAAAATTTTCAAACATGGGATTTATTATCACTTTAATCACGTCTAGGAATCTCAGATGGCAATTAGTACAACATATTGGATTCCTTTTCCAATTTCTTTAAGGAATCAGACAATAGGATGGCTACCATTTACCTGTAATGGCAACTGTCAGTGCTTCCAGTATGGTCTACAAAAAGTAAAAACAAAAAATTACAAGGATTAAAAAAACCTCACAAAACACTTACATGGAGACTTCACATGCCATGAGTCCCATTCTGCTATGTAAGCCCAGCATGCAATACGTTAGGTCTCCTGTTACATCTTTGTATGTGAAAACATGTTTAGTTTTAACAAGAAATCATACTGCCTTACTGTGCTGGAAGTTGTTGTGTTACATAAAAATAATACAATATAAACTGAAAATGAACAAGAGACAGCCACTGTAGAAAAAAGCCATTTAGGTTTTCTACTCAAAGCACACAGCATTCTTATCACACTTCTTACAAACCATTCAAGGGGCTATAAAATTTCTCCATATAGAAATAGAGCTTATAGAGCTGCTATAAGAAATGAATTGTTTTCAGATTTTTGCGTACTTTTCAATATTTGAAATACTTTCATCCAACACTCTTAAAATCTCATTAGACAGCTAAGTGTCTGCATCAATTTCCTTTTCCCACTTGTCCTTGTTTTGAAACAGCCAACATAAAATCAAACCTATTATTGATGTCTGGGCTGAAGGCTAGTACAAGCACTGAATTTTTCAAAAAGGTAATTTCAAATTAAGTTTCATTACAATAAAAGAGGAGAAAAGTACCTATGGCTCGAACCAAGAGGTCAGAAATAACAGAACATTTAACCCATGATTTGTTTAAACCAATTTATCACACACAGATTTGAATCCTGCTATTCCTACGCAACGTAATACTTAAACTGTCATATCACAAATTCCCACACCACATTTGGCCAAACCATTACATCACTCTTTGTTCCAGCTGCACTTGTTGAAAGTTCTCAAACATTTTACTCTGCTGCAAGAGTTCTGAATTCAGGAAGCATATAACTGTGTTACAATTTGAACAGTTTATTTAGTTACATAGCAAAGCTCTCTTTCTGTTGTATCACAAATACAATTTAGGCAACTCCTAAAGCATCAAATTCCAATGGTGCTACTCTGACTTCTTTTCAGAAGACTGTTTTGCTACATAATCCAAAATGTCCAAGAGCATCAGTTAGCCCATATCTACCAATCTGCAACATCAGGCAGGAGACTGAAATTTGAGGACAGCTCTGATTGACCTACCTCTGTTGGAAACATGCTCAGAATTCATCATCAAAAAGAAAACAAGTAATGAAATAAACATATATGGCTGGTTGCATTTGGGTCTCTGCTGGAGGTCATCCATTAAACAAATAAGGTAACAGAAATGCCTCCTTTCCTACTGAGCAGTTTCATACAAAAATCACTGACATCAACAGAACAATGAGAGCAGACAGATAGATACATTTATACACACACAGAGAAAAAAAAGCTTGCTCAATGTGATTCCAAGTTCTAATACTCTTCCTAAAAAGATGCTGGAAGAAACATGAAGTAGAGGCTATCTAGGAACAACCTGTAGATAGAACCTCCAAAAAAGTAACTCAGAACTTTTTAAGTATACAGGGTATCTTTCAAGGAATACAAGAAAAACAAATTAGCCACCACTAGTTTGCTTCAAGGAGTTCATCACAATGAAAGATACTCTAGGGACTACTAAGATTGAATTTATATAAATACTTACAAATCCAAAAAGCAGGTATAAATTCACAGGATGCTGGTGTCTGTAGAGGGTCAGTGCCACGATTATAGCCAAAGATCCAAACCCAGATATCAAAAGCAAGGCAGGCCTGTAAAGTTTCATACAAAAAGGTCATCAAAATTAAAATAAAGTATCTGGAAGACTAAAAACCAGTTTATATAAAACAAGTTTTCAAGTGATCACCTAGATGAAGATACTGCTCCATATATCCAAAGTTAATGTAAAGCAAGTTTTACAGAACTGCTCTAAAACATATCACCACAGATAATCACATAAAAACAATACAGTCACAAGTAAAGACAATTTTTTCATACTGAAGCTAAAGATTGCCCAGGAATCCATCATCTGGAGATGAATCCGTATGAAGAGGAAAATCCATCTGTACTAAACTAACAGTATTAAAGTATATGTTATATTTTGCCTATTAAGAACTTCACGTTCAGGGAACTCTTTTTTTATAAGCACCTGAATGCGACAAACATGGGCACTAACTGCACCAAAGAAAATCATTACTGACCAGTAAGTATTCCTATAATTACATCATTCAAGCAACCTTCCTAGCAAAAACTGGACCAAAATGAAACACAAAATCACAACAGTGCTAAGTGAGCAGGACGATTGTAAATTATCAGATTTAAGTAGAAAACTGTAGTTTTACAACCTCTGTTGTACGCACTACAGCTTATACAAACTTTCACGTAGTGTTTGATGCTCCTTTTTTATCTGGGCTTTGAAGTGAAAGTAAAAGCAAAGTCTGCAAGTGCACTTGGGTGAAAACCAAAACTGGACTCGGTGCCCTCCTCCTTTCCCTAGTTGTTCTTTTCCCCCGCCCATTCACCACAGTTTGTTTTTTGAGAGGCAAAAAGAAGCAAGCCCACACGAATTTTAGCAGACTAGTTTTCAGGGAAAAAAAACCCCAAAACCCACAACCAAAAACAATCCAAAAGAAGATGGAGGAAGGAGGGAGGGAGAGGAGTAAGATATGATTCAGTTTTTTTGAACAGCATTCCAGATTCTAAAAGCAGATACTTAGATCATAAAAGAAGAAATGTCAATAATTGAGAAGTTTTGCCACTGATGTATAGGTTTTCATAGCGTAAATATTAAAATAAGCACTATTAATAGTGATTAAAATAACTTTAATGATAATAACAAAAATAAATTTTGATAATAAACCAAAGAGAAAAATGTCTGTCCTCGTTTTGGCTGGGATGGAGTTAAATTTTCTTCCTAGCAGCCGGTGTAGTGCTGTGGTTTGGATTTAGGATGAGGATAATGTTGATGACATGCTAATATTTTAGTTGTTTCCAAGCAATCAAGGACTTTTCAGCTTCTTATACCGGCCTACCAATGAGAAGGTGCGGGGCGCCCAAGAAGCTGGGAGGGGACACAGCCAGGACACCTGACCCAAACTGGCCAAAGGGATATTCCATACCATATGACATCATGCTCTGCATATAACTGGGGGAGTTGGCTGGGAGGCAGTGTGGCTCAGGAACTAGCTGAGTACCGCTTTCAGGTGGTGAGCAATTGTGCTGTGCATCATTTGTTTTGAATATTCTATTATTCTTATCACAATCATCTTCCTTTTCTGTCCTATTAAACTGTCTTTATCTCAACCCATGAGATTTTTCTTTTTGATTCTCTCCCCGATCCCACTGAGGGGAGGGGAAGTGAGCAAACAGCTGTGTGGTTTTTTTAGCTGCGAGCCAAATCAGAACAATGTCAGAGAAGAAAAGTAATTTTCTATCAGGTTACAAAATTTCTATTACAGAATCAAAATACAGGGTATCAAAACTACTGGGAATACTAAAGTGTTCCAGAGCAAAAAACTACATAACTACACCTTACACATGATAAACACCTCCAATCCATTTTAGTATTTACCTTTCATGAACAAATGCCTGCACTCCAGTAGAGTACAGAAAAATTGCAGATGTGACTGTGGTCAAAAGAACTTGAATGGAAAGAATGCTGTAGACTTTCCGTAGAAAAGCTAGAATAAGGAAAATAAAAATGAAATCACTTTTGAGTTACACTTACAATGTTCAACAGTAAATCAGACACAAGCTTTCTGTTTGATAAGGAACCATTAGAAACTCTCTATTCCGTGAAAAACACTACTTCAGACTATTTTAAAAACCACATACACCTAACCTCACCAAGAAATTACTAACGGTATACCTTCTACATCACATTACTGGTATCTAATGGACCTAAATGAAGAAAGGTTGACTTGGAAGTTTGGTGGAAGAAAGAAACAGCCATTAAAGTTTAAAAAGGAAAAGCTTTTACAGTAGTATCTATTTGATTTACCTTCTGCCATGTGAAATATCATTAATCATCATTTGCGACTTGCATTGTATTGAATGGGTATCAACAGATACAGACTGCTAGAAAAAAATAATCCCAGAATTAAGCTAACAGGCTTCATAATTCTAAAATTATGAAGTGTGGGGAGTGGTTCAGGACATATAGATATCCTCTGTTCTGAATGGAAGAAGACCAAGTCCATTAGGCAAAATGCTCGGAAAGGAAGAGTAAGTTTACAGGGAGAAGCAAGTCAATCTTCAACAGCACAGCCTAAACAAGTTTAAGAGCACATACTACAGGAAGCTGAATTACATACTTGCTGCAGGTAACGTTAAATATGCTTGTAAGCCATGAAGGACCAGGGCCTACTTTGTTGTAATAAACTGCACAAACCTAGAAGCAGCCTGCTAGCTAGCATAGCCTTCTCCCCACATTATTAAGTGCATCAGCAATTTTGCTAATGGCAATACCTCTTTCATATTTCCTATGGCATCCTTGATTTTCCAAAGATAAAACTGTATTTTTTATAGGAAGAGGTCTCCTATTTATCAGAAATCTCTTATAAAAATTCACAGCACACAGTTGCTTTTGTTCCAAGATGTATCCAGTAACACTATAGCTATTTCAGCAATGATTACTGACTAAAAACCTTCTACAAGAGTATTCAGTGCATTTGAGATGTGCGTATTAACAGCAAAGCAATAGTTCACGGCCACTAATATGACCTAACAGCACGCAAACGCTTAAGCAGAAGAGACAATATCTGAACACCTCTCAGAAGAAACTGAAATCCCTCAGCCTCCTGGTTAAACTACTGTGATTACGAGTAGCAATTTTAACTTTTATACATCTTAAGTATCATGTTTGGGCTTCAAAATGCATCACTCTGGGAAAAATCAAGTCTGAACCTACATGGGTTTAATCCCTCAGATAAAAAGACCTGTCCCTATACACTGAAATGATGAAATCCAGTCTTTCACCAGCCACGCATCTTTCTCTCACCCTCGATGGACTAAGTAACGCCTCGGCTCCCCACTCACAGCCTTTACCCAGAAGCTTAACATACTGCGCAGACCCTGAATTCAGCTGAACGCCACAGGCGATGGGGTTAACAGAGAGGAACTAGCTGGGAGCGCTGGGGAACGACACCCCCTTCCACCGCCCAGCAAGGGGAGGCAGCAGGGGCCGCTCCGCAAGGGCTGGAGGGGGGCGAAGGAGAGGGGATGGCGGCCTCACTCATCCCCCGCCCCGGTCCCTACCCATGCGGATGTGAACACTGGCCGA